AATGTCAATACTGTTTACTTTAGTTCACATGAATATTTTATACTATGTATTTGATCACTGTAATATCTTTAAACCTTGTAGGTAGATTCTGTAGTGTAATTTTTCACTTTGAGCTCATGTTCTGTGAAATTTTATCTGTCCGGATTCTGTATTTAAATTATACTCAACGAATGATTTGAATTTGCTCCTTCCAGGTTCTTGAGGTTACTACCAAGCCTGGATACCTCTAAACTACATTTTCAGGTTGGGTTTTATTAATTTTTTCCTCCAAGGTCACAGAAGTGGTGTTAATTCAGGCTTCAAACTTTTGTGAGAATAAACTTGTGCATTCTCAGGGAAGACTTTTCTTTCCCAATTTGTACTTCCTTCACCCAAAACCAAGGCAGAGATAAGCACAAAGCCCATCATCAACCTCTGAGAATCTGCTTATTTCTCCTAGCCCATCCACCGAAGATAAATACTTTGAGAATTCTGGGATTAAATTGGAGGGAACAAAATCTCTGATTAGACCTCACCATAAGGTATTGCCCTCAATGTCACCTTCTCAGACCCCCAACGCATAAAATTAAAATCCAGGCTTTAAGCCAGCAGGAAGCAGCCAATAACCACTCCTAACCCCAAGACAAACATCTGTGTTACTTTATCATTCTGCATTCACTTCTTGTGTGTGTTTTCTTGCCTCTGAAGAATTTCCTCACTTTCAGCTCATTCATTGAAAAAAATTAAATACTCTGCAGCATTTTAAGGTATCTTTCTGAATCTTTGTTCAGCCAGATGGCCCTAGTTTCTTTTATAAACTAGAGGTTAAGGGTCATATACTGAGAATGAAGAGGGAAGAAAGTTTGCTGGAGAGAGGAAAGGTTTAAAATGGGGGGAAGTAAATTAAAAGTAAAGCACTAATAAAGAGTTGATGGTACCCAGGAAAGTTCATAAGGATGGATCATTTGATAAGATGTTATAACCTTTGGCTATATGGTAGCCTTATATCTGATACATGTTAGTAGTATAACCTTGGAAAAATCACCCTGTTTGTATCTATCTGTATCATAGGTATTGTGAAGACAAGCGTTATAAAATCCAACACTGAACTAAATCACTATTTCCAGCAAATAACTCACTCATGATGTGAAACTTATTTTACAGACTTCTCTATTTAATAGAATTTGAAGCCAAATTAGCAAAGACCTAATTAAAATGGGCCATTTGCCATGATGTAAAAATACTATTGCTAAGCAAAACTCAAATATATTCAAGTGGTTTTCATTAGTAATATTTTACCTGCGGTAATCAAAATTAACTTTTATCTAATTAAACCATGATAATCTAAGAGAATCTCAGCAATAGGCAATCTTTTAGGCAGAAAATAAAGATCCCAGGAAGTACACAAATAATTTACCTGAAATGTTCATCAAAATCAAGCTAACCCCCAAATTTCAGGTGGCTAAATATTTTCGAGATTTGGCCTTCTCAAGAATGTCATTCGATAATATATTCACCATTGTTCTAGCTGCTATGAGGTAAAAATAAATTATCCTTAAGGAGTTTCCATGTTAGGTGGTAAAAACACTTTTGTGAGAAATCGCAGAACATTATAATGACACCTAAGTACATGTCAGTTAATCTACACGTAATATTTGACATATCAATATTTGGAAGAAGGTATTCATTGTCAGAGACAATGATAGCATCTATGAGCATAAGAGTTAAGATTCTGAATTTAATTTTCCTAGCTGTTTTGGCATCATGATTAAATCACCATATTTATTCCAATCAAGCAAGTTTTTCTTACAAAACTGTAAGAAAAAATGTCAATGTGGGCCTTGACGATGAACTCATTGATTTTGGCATATATAACAATACTCCAACTCTCATCCTAAGCCTTTTTACTTCTTCCGGTAGTACGTAGCATCAATTTTCTCACATAATCTGTTTTAAAGACTTAAGCCTTCCCTGGTAAAAGTACAGGAGTGTAAACCTTTCTCTGGTAAAGTACACGTTCTATTGATCATGCCAGAAAAAGTTCAGTAGGTATTTTTAGATTACTGTATAGTGGGTTTTGTTGTCCACCCCCCCACCCCCACCGCCACCCCCTAAGTATCTGTTCTAGGAGATTGAGAAGTCTAATTATTTTAGAAGGGCTACTTCTCCTTATCTCAATTCCACTCAAGTGTAGTCAACAAAAGTAAGTGATTTAGGCAGTCTTAACTCTTTGAAAACTTAAGGAGTTTTAGAAGAACCACCAAAATGCATTCAAAGTGTAATGGTTGTTTTTCTAACTTTATTTTTATTCTGCTCCATAGTTCTTTGTAACTAAGTCCTTAAAGTTAGAATGTTTCTAATCTTGAGAAATGCAGGCAAGAAATGCTTAAAAGAGGCCAAAAGCAAATTGAAATTGGTATTTAATGATAGATAGTAAATACAGAGTGATTTAGCAATCAAGAAGCACAACTATTCAAAACAGATATAGGGCCTTTTAGTAAAAAAAACAAAAAAACCAAAAAACCAAAAACAAAAAAATCAAGTGTCAGTTTTGTTATTTCTCACCAGATTCTCCCTACATACTTCTATAATACCAAGAACTTACTGAAAAAAGCTTCATTGAATCAGATCAATAGAAAGTATACTTCCAGTTACTTGGAATTGATATAAAAATTTGAGTTCAAATATTCTTTTAAATACAGATTCCTCTGGATTTTTTCTAATGAATAGGGAAATGATTTTTGGTCAAGATATCTCTCTTTAGACATTTGAAAATTTTTTTTTAAGTACGGTTATGAATCTTAAAATTGTTAATTTGATTATAAAAAGACGAGCATAGACAACCTACACTCTTTTTAGGAGACACTACAAAAGGAAAATGCTTTAGTCTATCGTCTTTCCAAATTATATTTTCTAGGTTTATTGAGTTTTATTGGTTTTTGAAAAACTACATCACACACAAGATTCATTTAATAGGATGACTTTAAGACATTTAAGTTCTTCTCTTGGAATATCAGCAACTAAAATATGAAAACCTAATCTGGGTATCATGTAGTTTATCCTGTAGAAGCATACTTTTAGAATTTTTAGCTTAACTATGGATGCTTTTTCTATTGTGATAGTTTCTAGCCACTTTATAATTACCTCAGGGTGAGAGGTATGACTGGGAGAGGGCACAGGGCACCAGAAATTATGTTTATCTTAATCCAGGGGATGATAACATGAGTGTATGTATATGTAAAATTTCACAGCTGCATCCTTAAGATTTATGCTCTCTATGGCATATGTTGTATTTCCGAAAAAAGTAAATAAGAGTGTTTAGCTACTTTATGAAATGGTATTTTACAAGGCATCATTAATATGATTTTACAAGTCAAAATGTATAGGGAAAAACAAATTATCTGATGCTTATGACATAAGGATTGCTAGCACTTTCAGGTAAATTATATCTGAAGCTAGAGTTACAGCTTCAGTAATAAGAGGTCACTGGTATTCTATCAAAAATGGTGTCAGGAAGAATACAATGTATCAATTTAACTACGAAGGACAGAAATGTTCTAACAGCTTAAACAACAACTAGAAGATGAAAGCATCATCAAATAAGTGACGTGACTATGGCATGATTATTTGATTTATGATTACCCCTGTTTTTTATTTTTGCTTTTCACTGGGTTTTGTCATTGTATTGCTTGGACTTCCAAAGGATGGGGAAGGAAAAGAATTCAAGTTAAATTAGTTTTGTTACTTATTTTCAAGTATTGTTTTTAATGTGGTAAAAAGCTGAAGTTATGACTGTAATTTTAAAATTATGCATCCTACTTTCCATCTATTATGGGAGAAAAGAGTTGGTTTACACAGGAAATATAAACAATCTGCCTCAAATGTTTTTTTACTTTTGCTCAGAACTATGTTGATTCTCATCACCTCCAAAAGCCTTTGAGAGGATTAGCTGCATAGACCAATATTGCTCTATATTAGTCAGTATTAAGCATATGATGTCACCTTGTTTCCTCCCCTCCTCAGTTTTTTTTTTTTTTGGTGGGGGAGGGGGAAGGGAGAGTTTTGGGCAATTCTCAGAATTCTGTGGCTTAAATACCACTAGCTGACACACATGATTGACAACCTTACACTCTCAAACCTGTTTGAAATGGGTCAAATACCTAAGCGCTGCAGAACAATGCAATCCAGCCAGCAATTCCCCATAAAAGAGAAAGGGGGTGTGATTAGGTTCTAGCTATTAAGCAAGTTATTGCAAAAACAGTTTGGTGGTTTGTTTCTGCAATAGTCACAGGTTAAGCTAGTATTTTCTATCTTAATTAGCTCCAGAAAAAAACCCACTAGGCTGTAAGAGGTAGGATAAATAGCCAAAGCTGGGAGCAAGTGGGGCAAACATTAAGAGCTTTATGGAGGTCTTTATACTGACCCTCGGCTTTGGTTATTGATCATCAACCCTGCTGGGGAACTATCGAACGGAATCTGTGTGAGGCTTATCGAGCCACAGGAAAGGAGATGCAGGAGGGAATATAAGCTTCTAATAAAAGAAACGCAGCAACAATAGCAGAGGAACAGCTCTGCCTGGTGACGTAATGGCTGGCAGCAGTCCAGCTTCAGCAGAGCTGCTGCTACCTCAGCATCCAACCTCTCTCAACACAGTTCAGCTTCAGCAGAGCTACCGGGGCTGCTACTTCTTGCGATGCCACTTTGTTGCTGCCACCAACACCTTACCTTGGAGGGCCAAAACACCGAACAAAGGGTTGTCCTGTTGTAAGTTGTCAGAACCCACTCTCTCACTCACCCAACCCCGCCAGCCTCTCAAACACCGAGTCAACCTACCGCTTAAGTTTAGGGCGAGCATACGCGCGCACACTCCAGGCGTGCCTCAGTTTCCCCAAGCTGCTCTCAGGTCCGCCTCATTAGCCGGCCCCCTCCCCCCCCCCGCCCCCTTCCCGGTCCTCAGCCCGAGTTGATCGCGGCAGCCCCGCTCACCCGCCCGGCCCCGCTTGCCGGTCCTCCCGCCTTACCTCCGCCAGGTAGAGGTTGAGGAGACAGAGCGTGGAGAACTGGAGACAGGAGGGGAAGCAGTAGAGCAGCCAGTGGGGGAAGAAGTGCAGGTGAGCGGGCGGCCGGAGCAGGGGCAGGGAGCCGCTGAGCGAGAAGGCGGCGGAGAAGAGGGTGGTCCTGAGCGCTGCCCACAGGAGACAGAGGAAGAGGCAGAGGCTCTGGTAACTCAGCCGCCGCTCCCGGTACAGGAGCAGCCGCCACAGCTGCAGGTAGGCAAAGGCGAAGAGCGCGGCGTAGAGCAGGGCGTGCAGGATGCTCAGCGCCAACTGCACCGAGCCCGGCACCGCGGCGCCTGAGGCAGCAGCGACGGCGCCTCCGCCTCCGCCCCCGGGCGTCGAGGGCTCGCGGCCGGCCGCCGGACCCGGCACGGACACCCTCATGAGGGGGCTGGGGGCCGGACGAGAGAGCGCGGGAAGGAAGGGGCCGGACTCGGAGCCGCCGTCGAGGGGGAGAAAGATTTCCCCCTTACCCCCCACCCACCCCAACCTCCGACCCCAGGAAGCGCCGTGACAGGACCCGGAGCCCCGCGCAGAGCAGCCGCGGCTCCCCGGACCCCGCCTCCTCTCCCCGCCCCCCCCGGGGGTCTCGGCTCCTCCTGCGGCGGCTCGGCTCGGTAGCTGCAAAAAACAACTCTCGGCTGGAGACAATCAGCTGAGAAACCCGAGCATTTGAGGCGCTCGCTCCGCACCGTGGGCTCGCGCCGATTGGCCCGGGCGGGCACGCCCCCTGCGCGCCGCGCTCGGAAGGCCACGGGCCACGGGGCCTGTCGCTCGAAGGCTCCCGGATCTGATTGGACAGCCGCTTTCCTCACTTTCTCCCTCCCCTTCACTTCCCACCCACACTGCCGATTGGCCCAGCAACTGCACGGCCCGCTCGCGCCGGCGGGAGGACTCGGTGGTCGCCCGTCAGCTGGGGCGGCTCTCGCTCCGCCCCCTGCGCTTCCCATTGGCTGGAGAGGCCGCACGTAGGGAGCACGAGGAGAAGGCGGAGCCTCGGGGTTGTTTTTTCGCTCCGCAGGCCGACCCCAGTGTGCGCTGGTGGCCGCAGGCGCGGGGGGCGGGAGTGCTGCGCCCTAGTAGGTAGGCGCGGCTGCTCGCCGCTACCCTCCGGCGAGACTCGGCCCCGCCTTCTGCTTCTCCTTGGCGAGGCGGGAACCGTCGGCCGCGGGAACCTTCTGGCTTCCTCAGACTAGATCTTGCCCGCAGGTCTTGGGCAGGTAGGTGGCCGCGCGGGTCCTTCAGTCGAGGGGCTGTGGTTTCTGCCTGCAGGGATGGGGATTCAGCCTGGCGGCTGTGCCCCTCCAGTGAACTCTGTGGAGTTTGGGTTAAAAGGGGCCTCACCTGCATCCTTCTGAGGGGCATTTTGCTTTCTTCTTCTTTCTTCTTTCTTCTTCTTCTTCTTCTTTTTCCCTCCAGCCTGAGAGGGCGAGAAAAACGTGAGGGAGAGAGGATGGAGAAGGATGAACTGACACCTTAAGCAAAATTCTTCCTTGGGGAAATATCTCTAAAAGGACGAGGCGGTATTAGGATGAGATGGATGTCCAGATGAGATGTAAAGAGGAGGAATGCGGGTCTTTGAAACTTAGAATTTGGAAGGATGCTCTGGGCATAAGTTTAGGGAGAAAAAGAACTGTAAGTCTGAGGAATGTCTAGGGAGAAAGAAGCAGAACAGTTTGTACTCCTTAAATTCCACATGTATTCCTTCAAGCCTTGGTCCTGTATTTGGTGGATGGTGGCGCCCTTCTTGGGGCTCCGAGAGGTACAAAACAAATGCTATATTATGTTATTGCTGTAAATAAGTGAGGAATAGATCTTCCAGCGTGTATTGGACTGACGACATTTGCCGATTTGTTTCCTTTTTAGTGTTTGGTAATAAAATGAGCGAAGCAACGAAAAATGATGAGAAAACCATCTGTGTTCTTAGAATGAGTGGCACATCACAAAGTCCGTATCCTTTTGAAAGACACTGCTGCATTTACTGGTGCAACCAAGACAGCCTTCCCTAACTTGCCATCCTTTGCCTAATGCTTTGTGTGGGAAGAGTTTTGCTGTCTTTTTTCCTAGCTAAGTGATCCATAGGGAACTTTAAAGTCTACTCTGTACTCCAGATTCTGGGACAGTGGTCCCCCTGTCAGATACTGGTGTGTTTTGGGTTCTTTACAGGTATACTGACAAAATGTGATGTTTAGGCCTGGCACAGTTGCGTGGATCTCTCAGATGAAACATTCAGCTGAGCAGGTTGTACAGTGCAGCCTAGAGCAGGGTACAACTTTCTGAAAGAAGTTCATGGCTCTGATCCAACATTAACAAAGAAGAATCACATTTTTTTTTTTTTAATTTATGAGATTTACCTCATAGATTTTTAGAGAATGTGGTTAGGGCAGTACACAGTTCTTTTTGAAAAGGGATGGAGTGAGTGCTCGTGGCAGCAGTGAGTTAAAGTGAGTTAAGCAGTTATGTGCTTAAGCATGAACTCAGAGTTCTGTGATTTTTGGCACTCATCAAAATCAGGGGAACCTCCTGTTCCCTGACATGCCTATTTTTGTATCTTCCGTAATGATGAGGTACTTGTTTCATTTCACGAATAGATTTTTACCATGAACTGGTTTTTCTTTTTCTCCTATATTCTCTACTCATAGTAAACAACATCTGGAGAGTATCCATACTAGTTTTAGGTCTTTGCTTGTGAAATTTTTCATTTCAGAGCAAGTCCAGATAGCTATCTCTCTTCCCCTTCTTTTTTTGAGGGGTGCACGAGGGATGCAGATAGAGGATTTTGCTCCAATTGCCTTGAAGGGGCTTTGAAGTAGAGAGATGTTGACTCCTTTTATTGCTTCCATCCGGTCTTAAATGATAAACTTTGATGATATCTAATCAACATTTTATTTGAAACTGGTTCAGTGAGCAGGTTTTCTCCAGTAGCAGCATTAAACTGTAAGCTAATTTTTGCCAGAATGTTCTTACAGGACGTTCGTAAGCATTATATGCCCCATTTGTTGCAAAATATGAAATGTGCCTTTTCCCAGAGAACGATGCCCACAGAGTTTGGTATAATTTGCTTCATGTTTACAGTTGTTCATTTCCTCTTTTTTCTTGAGAGGGAAAACTTTTAGTTTTGTGGTTAATTGTAAGGGAAATTTAAGTCTATAAAGAGGAAGCTAACCAAGGTCTTCTAGAAAAACTTGCTGCTTGGTATTCTAAAATTTGAAATGTGTCCAAATGCACAGTGGTTGAATATTGTTCTAGGAGGGTACATTACTCTAGCACACTGGTCTTCCAAACATTTAAAAGTAGAAGAGCTGTTTGCCAAGTGATATTATAAATAGGACCCAAGCCCCAAATGAGATTGTTCTAACTGTAGAGAGTTACCAGCTGCTCCAGCTGTGGAACACATGAAGGCAGATGCTTCCCTCTCCCCTCACTAGCAGGAAGATGAATGTTTTTCTGTTGAAATTCTTTCTCCTCATTGCCCTCTGGGGACCCTCAGTATTTTGGTGCTGAACAAAATTTTGTTGCCTTTATTTATTTATTTGTTTATTTTTTTAAGTAGGCTCCCCACAGGGCATGGAGCCTAATGTAGGGCCAAACTCACAACCCTGACATCAAGACCTGAGCTGAGATCAAGAGTCGGACACTTAACCAACTAAGCCACCCAGGTGCTCCAGAATTTTGTTGCATTTTATTTAGTCTTTAATTTGCAAGCTTTAACTCTTTTTGTACTATAGCCTCATTGTTCCAATTCCCAGTGTTTGTCACCCTCTTGTATTTGCCCTTAGTTAAATGTCACACATCTTTTCCAGTTTTTTTCTTTTTTTTTTTTAAGTAGTCTCCATCCCAAGCATGGAGCCCAATGTGGAGCTTAAACTCATTACCCTGAGATCAAGACCTAAGATCAAGAGTCAGATATTTTTTTTTTATTTTTTTCTTTTAAGAGTCAGATATTTAACTGACTGAGCTACCCTCAGTTGGTGCCCCTACCAACTATTTTTTTTTTTAAGATTTTATTTATTCATGAGAAACACAGAGAGAGAGAGAGAGAGGCAGAGACATAGGCAGAGAGAGAAGCTCTCTACAGGGAGAGCAGGCTCCTCTACAGGGAGCCTGCTGCAGGACTGGATCTTTCCTGGGATCATTACCTGAGCCAAAGGCAGATACTCAACCACTGGGCCACCGAGGCGCCCTGCCCCTATCAACTCTTAAATGAACTGTGCAGGCATTCTTGTTTAGAGTTTAGGGATAAGGCAAAAGTTACATCTTGCATACCAACTCTATTAGTGCTGACAAGGAGCATTATACCAACAAGTTGAGAGCACTCTCCAGGCTCAGTATGAGTCTGCATGTAGTTGGGTGATGTATGTGTGTAGTATTGGAAGACATTTGCCTATGACTTCCCTAATTTGGTGTCGGCACCTGTTGTGGTTATAGTCAGTTGCATTTGCAAGAGTTCTCTTCCCTTTTAGAATTGTCCTACAGTGAAATTGAGTCAGTTTCCTGTTAATTCTTTGATATTTAGTGCTTTAAAAATCCAGTATATGTATTTATGTTCAAGTCACTCTCGGCTGTTATTAAAACCAGTAAGGCTAGGCTGGGTTATACTGTAATAACAACCCTGAAACTTTAAGAGTTTTAACACAACAATGTTTAATTTATGTTCACTCTTGATCAGCCAGGAGTTTTTCCCCATGTTGTTCTTTTTCTGAGACTTGGTTCAACAGAGAAGGCCTTATTTTGAGTGTTATCATTCATCACAGCAGAAGGGAAGTGTGTTGCGAGGCATGAAAATATGTCGACTTTGAAAACTCCTGGAAGTAACATGTGTCACCACACATTTCATTATCATGAAATGTCAAGTCAGTCAAGTCATGGCTATACCTAATTCAAGGAAGTGGGGAAGTACAATTTTAACAGGTGTGGAGAACTAGAAACATTTAAACAGTCCACCCTTTTTGTGAACCGATACTCTCCTTCTTGCATGTAGTTCATTGTTGGCCCTTCCCAGTAGACATAACCCCCAAATCTCATCCAGTCACTGTGTCAGACTCAAAGTCCAGGATTTCTGACTAGTGTCCAGTAGTGCTAATCTCTTATCAGTCTGGACATTATAAGTTATCTGTCTCCCACCCCCAGTTGAATACATAGAGTAGTGTAGGGACAAATAACTATAATAAGTGTACCCATTTGGAGAGGGGAAGAATGGAAGACTACACACAGACTCTAGTCTGTAGGAGTTTTGAAATCTCACTGGGCAGGTATTGCTAGGGCTCCTGCTCTGTTCACTGTGTTCTGTAGGTCAGTGCTTCTCAAACTGTCTGTCATGAATGACCAGATATTGTTTTTTTTTTTTTTTAATGATTCAAAATCTAAATTTGAATTTTGTTAGATACAGTAAAAATGAATTATAATAAAAATGGAATGAAAACACATAACAAATGATAAACCCAATTAAAAAATTTTTGGATTCAACAGACAGAAAATTACCATGTAAAATGAGCTATAATAGATTTTTGACATTTACACTCAATTTCTGTGTTTATCTCATTATTTTGGACCAGTAACAAACAGTTCGTATTCTGGCACATGCCCTAGGGCATAGTTCTTCATGGTCCTTGGCATTACTCTGCAAGACGTCCTTCCATGTTTATTATCCTTGGCCACACCTGAAGTTGGCTTTGGAGAATATGGCTGAGCAGTTTTGTCAGCTTGCTTCCTAATGATAGAAGGGTGGGGTCTAAAGGACTGTTTAAGTTTTAAACAGTCGCTTGGATGGCAGTGGTCCTTTGAGTACCTTTCTTTGAACTCCTTATTAAACATAACCAACAGCAACTATCATTCGGTGCCTCACCTTCTGTCTACAAGCCTCTTCTATTAGGGCCATAAATAAGTTCATTAGCCGTACCACACTGGGGTAACTGCTCATTACAAATTCATGAGGTATATGTCACCTTCAAATGATTGTAGTTAACAGTTTTACCAAATGTTTTGTCACTCCTTAATGTGTATTGCCAAACTCCAGTCTGTCCTGATTAAGTTCTTGCTCCATGGCTTCTGAGCCAGTATTTTGGGGTTCTTGTTAAGGTGGCACCTCATTCTAGTTTGTATACTAGTGAAGGTAAACTAGATTATGCTGCCATAATAAGCCCTCAAATCTCAGTGCTTATGACAAAAAGATGGATTTCCTCTCATGTTACATGCTCCTTGCATATCAGACTGGTGTATGTCTTCCATTCTCTGTGTTGTGCTCATTCTAGGAATAGCCACCAGCTGAGCAATTTTAATGCCTGTGTGAGAAGAAAATACGGCCTGCCCTACCACATGCTAGCTGATAAACTGTTGTCTGAAAGAGACATGCCACTTTTGCTAACATTTTATTGGCCAGAGTAAGTCACCTGGCAGTCACAATTAATTTACTACAAGTGGGAGGTAGGAAGTTAAGTGTAATCCTGCCTTCTACAGCAGAACTGCAACTATATATTCCCCATACTAATGAACCACTATACCAAAGTACCAAGGTCACATTTCTCCCAAGGTACTCATCTCTTTGTTGAGATTTAGATTTTGAATCATTAAATATTGTTTTTTATTCTATTTTCTACTTACCAGAGGGAAAAAAATCACCAAGTACCTTCTGTATATTTGTTTTTACCCTGTTCTGACTGGTGTTCTCATTCTCCACCCTTTCTCACTTATACTTCCCTTTTAGGGATTTTATTTATTTATTTGACGGGGGGGGGGGGGGAGAGAAAGAGCAAGCAAGCAAGCATAAGCAGAAGGAGCAGCAAAGGGAGAGGGAGAAGTAGGTTCCCTGAGGAGAAGGGAACCTGATGTGGGGCTTGATCTCAGGACCTTGGGATCATGACCTTAGCCGAAGGCAGATGCTTAACTGACTGAGCCATCCAGACGCCCCTGAAAATATTTTTATATGGACAACATGTCTCTAGGCAAATGCATTTTATTTTTCATGCATGTGAAATGAACATTCTTCTGTGGCCCTACAGGGATAGGTTGGGTTAATATGAGTAGAAGCTATGGAAAATTTGATTACATACAAATAATAACTTTAATTTTTGTTTATATTTGTAATTCCAGTGTAGTTAACATACAATCTTGTATTAGTTTCAGGTGTATGATACAATGATTCAGCAATTCCATATATTACTCAGTGCTCATCAAGAGAAATGTACCCTGTTATTTTTAAGATTTATTTATTTGAGAGAACGAGAAAGAGAGAGTGTACACTCGAGCTTGGGGAGGGGCAGAGGGAGATGGAGAGGAAGAATCCTTAAGCAGATTCCCTGCTTAACATGGAGCCCATTGCAAGGCTCAATCCCAGGATCCTGCGATCACAACCAGAGCCAAAACTAAGTTAGAGTGTGAGCCATCCAGGTGCCCCAAGAGAAGTGTACTCTTAATTCTTAATCCCTTTCATCTGTCTCACCTATCCCCCTCAACCCACTTTTCCTCTGGTAACCCTCTATAGTTAAGAGGGTGTTTTTTGCTTTCTCTCTCTTTTCCTTTGTTCATTTGTTTTGTTTCTTAAATTCCACATTTGATTGAAATCATATGGTATTTGTCTTTCTCTGACTTATTTCACTTAGCATTATACCCTCTAGATCTATCGTTGTTGCAAATGGCAAGATTTCATTCTTTTTATGGCTGAATAATATTTCATTGCATATATACTATGTCTTATTTATCCTTGTATCTAGTGATGGACACTTAGGCTGCTTCCATAATTTGGCTATTGCAAATAATTCTGCAAAAAACAAAAGTGTGTATAAAAATCCTTTTGAATTAGTGTTTTTGTATTCTTTGGGTAAATACTCAGTAGTGTAATTACTGGATCACAACATAGTTATATTTTTAATTTTTTGGGGAACTTCCATACTGTTTTTTTTAAAGACTTTATTTATTCATGAGAGAGAGAGAGAGAGAGAGAGAGAGAGAGAGAGAGAGAGAGAATGAGGCAGAGGGAGAAGCAGGCTCCATGCAGGGAACCCCATGTGGGACTTGATCCCAGGACTCCAGGATCACACCCTGGGCTGAAGGCAGGTGCTAAACTGCTGAGCCACCCAGGGATCCCCTCCATACTGTTTTCCATGGTGGCTGTGCATTCTACTTTGCATTCCCACCAACAGTGCATGAGGGTTCCTTTTTCTCCACATTCTTGTCAAAACTTGTTTCTTAAGCTTTTGATTTTAGCTATTCTGACAGGTGTGAGGTGATATCTCCTTGTGGTTTTGATTTGCATTTCTCTGATGATGAGTGATGTTAAGCATATTTTGAAGTGTCTGTCGGCCATCTGTATGTCCTCTTTGGAGAAATGTGTATTCATGTCTTCTACCTGTTTTTAAATTGGATACATGCTTTTTTGATGTTAAGTTCTTTATATGGTTTGGATACTAACACTTCTTCAGATACGTCATTTGCAAATATCTTCTCCCATTTAGTAGATTGTCTTTTAGCTTTGTTGGTTGTTTCCTCTGCTGTGCAGAGCTTTTTATTTTGATGTAGTCCAAATAGAATGACTTTAACTTTAAATAAAAATGAAAAGGTACACTATTTAAAGAGTCAGATGGTTCTATATAAAATTTCAGAAGTCCTCTTGGTATCCTCCTCTTGCAATTTCTTATTCCTTAGAGGCAATTATTTCAATTGCTCCCTGTTTCTTTTGGTATTGATCTTCCTATTTCTAATATACTTGGCTTTTGGTTTTGTGAAAGTGAAGATTTAGCTCTTTTCCCACTCTGTGTGTTCCCTTCTTTTCTGCCTCTCCATCCTCTGAACTGTGGTTGTCTTGAATTTGGTTAAATCATTATTCAGTGTTTATTTTATTACAACCATGCAAATTCTATTTCTGGCTGACCCATGCAATCTTCTCTACCTTATGTAATTCCTTAGATAATCAAATTTATCAACGATGGAACAAACTGCAAAGGTTATAGTTACTAATAAGTTCCTATTCCTGAAAGTATGTATGTAAGAATAATCATCAACATCTCTAATTGATCAAATGCATAATACTTTCACATCTATAATTTCATTTGTCCAATGAGATAAGTGTGGGAAAGTATTGTAGCACTGAATATGCAGTTAGCCTTTTTGCTGCTACAAAACCCATCATATGGTAAAAGAATCATATGTTAACCTTACTGTCCAATTCAGTGTTAAATAATTGAATTGTAACCAGAAGCCCAGTCAAAGTTATATTTATACTGGAATTGTTCAAATGCACTTTTATTTAAAAAGTTTATCTTTTCATTACGTTTTAGCTATTTTATATAGTAACAAATGTTACATGGTTATTCCCTTAGCCTCAGGATGCATGCATTTCCCATCCTACCCCCTAATAAAGAAAATACTGAATGACCTATTTTAAACCATTCCCATTAGTATAAAGTGGCTATAAAATACACTGGTTTAAAATGGCTATAATGTGTAATCAGTGTTAATGTTGAGGATACCCCTTAATTATATCATTAAAATGACTTTTTTATATATACTCACAGTCCTCACTCATTCTACTTGAGTTTTTGAACTCTTGGTTCATTATTAACTATCAATGGCACATTTGTTCACTGATATAAAATAGCTCTAATAAAAAAATGCTAAGAATTAATTAATGAGTAAGTAGTTCCTTTTTAAGGAATACCTGCTTCTTGAGAGATGTTATATGCTTACTGATAAGATTAAGAGTGAAATAAATGTCCAATTTAGTACAATTTTCCCTTAATTTTTTATTCTTTTATCATTTTAATCTTTACTGAGAAAGTCTACCCTCTCCTTATGAGTAATTTTTAGCTATTTTTTTGTTTTCTGTTTTGTGATTGTGATCTTTTGTTTGAAAGATAGGGGTTCTATTTAAAATTTTTAAAAATAGAAATTCTTACCTATGCTGGTATGTATGTCTTTACCTTCTAGAATTATGATATATTTATATTAACTTTCCCCAACTATCTTCTTTTAAACTTAGGTAGTATAGATCATCAGTAGAAAAACTTCCTGAAAGAAGAAATTGTTCAAGAGAAATTTGAAAGTAGCAAAACAGAAGACAAGTAATTGACAACAGATGCAGAGGACAGCATGGAAGTAAGTACAGCATGAAAGAAGATGAGAGGAGGATATCTAAAACAGATCTGAGTTCAGAAGATAGAGTTGAATTAAAATATGGTTTGATACTTGAATTTCTAAGCTGCATAAATAAGTCTAAGTCATGTATTAAAAGTATATTTAGAAGGAATGTTCTTAAGTAGTTTTAATAACTATCTTCTAGGGAATTTAAAGTAAAAAGGATGTAAACATGGTAGACATAGATTTTGGATGTCTCACTCCCCTGTTAATGGTATTAAATAACTACTTGAGTATTGATTGTAAATCTGTTCTAGGTAGAGAAAGTTAAAATGCCCAATTTAAAACAAGAATTGAATAATGTTTGAGAATTAATTTTAGAACCCTTAAAAATGACAATTAACATACTCTAGTAAATATCTTTTAAACTTAGGTATTTCGTATTGCACTTTCTAGATATCCTTCATGTCTTTTGCAAGTATCAAAAATCAATAGTATTATTAAATTAATGTCATCTTATATATCCCTCTCAATTGTTTAATAGAAGGAAATAGGAAAGTACTGGCAAAATCAAATATATAAGTAATGCCTTATATTATTATTTTTTGCAGATTTTACTTCATTCATTTGTTTAACAAATTTATTCAGCAAAACTTTGTTAAACACCTACTCTTCCTAGGTATTATCCTAGGCAACAGGACCACAACACTGAACAAAACAGAAAAATCTCCTGCCTGTGTATAACTACAGCTGATGATGTCTTCCAGTTTCAATATATTTAGAGTTGGCATCTCTTTTGTCATAATGTGCATTTTTTATAAGTCAGCAGTAGACTCTCTATCAGAACTGAGTCCTCAGAAATATTTCAGTACATTGCAACCAGGAAAAGCTTCCTTAGCTTATTTTTGTCAAGCTGGTGAGTACTTTTTATATTCTACATGATTTTTGTGATGTTTCTATTGCTATTTAATCAGTGTTCTCAGTGGAAATTTATTGTAGGATTAATATGTGCTATAAAGCTGCTACTAAAATATGTCTGCCTGAGTTTAAATGCTGATTGTGCCACTGTGTGATTTTGATCAAGTCACTTAGCCTCTTTGTGTTTTTGTTATCATCTATAATGAGGAAATCATACTTGCTTTGTAAATTTGTTGTGAGGATTAAATGAACTTACTCATGTGACCTGTCCATAATAAATACTAGATGAGAATTAATGATTAGTAGAATAACATCTGATTTCCATCTAGTCATTTCTGAAAGTATGCTTTTTGGTATTTTTGGTGAACAAATATTTTTAAAGTGTTTTAAAACTTTAAATGTAGTATTAGTAATGCTTTTGTTTAATACTCTACTGTAGCTGTACCATTAATTATACTGATTAACCAGTGTAAGTATTGAACATAACTAAAGATTGTAATGGTCTCATTAAACCTGTATCCCTTAAAAAATATTATTCTTGGAATTAGTAAGTGAAATAAATCCACATTTCTGTTGACTCTCTTATAACTGTGGTTTGAAAAATAGCTTTTTAAAATCACTTTGAGGGGTGCCTGAGTGGCTAAGTCAGTTAAGTGTGGGACTCTTGATTTCAGCTCGGGTCATGATCTTAGGGTTGTGAGATCAATCCCCAAGATGGGCTCCATGCTGGGTGTGGAGCCTGCTTGAGTTTCTCTTCCTCTCCCGTTGCCCCTCCCCTCACTTCCATGTATGTTTTCTCTTTCTCTCATAAAAAATGTTTTAAACTCATTTTGAAAGTTTTTTGCATGTGTACATGTGTGTTGTGTACATGGTATTAAACTTGGAAAAATAATGCCAAATGTTAGCTTTATTTTTTAAAGATTTTATCCATTTATTTGAGAGAGAGACAGGTAGTGACAGCAAGAGTACAAGCCAGGGAGGAGAGGGAGAAGCCAGCTTTGCATTGAGCAGGGAGCCCAACATGGCACTTGATCTCAGGATACTGGGATCATGAGCTGAGCAGAAAGCAGACACCTAATGACTGAGCCACCTAGGAGCCCTTAAATGTCAAGAATAATGAGGCAATAGGAAATAAGGGTATAAATATATATAGGTATGTTTACTGTGTTATTTGTTTTGTATACTTGTTAGGTGAACTAATCTATTTCATCTATGGTTTGCAGCTTTGGGCTTTAATTTTAAAAATTCGTCTTTTCTAAGGAGCGAGCCATAAAACATTCATAAAACCTTTCTTATTTTAGATTCTCCAAGAACCTCTATATTTCTTGAAGAACTGAATGAGGCTGTTACACCTCTCCAGGACTATGGAATTTCAGTTGCAAAGGTAGAAAGACATTTTTGTTACTAAATTATTAGTGACAAACATTTGACAATTGTGTGACTGAAGGCTGAGTATCTAAATATACTTATGTTTCACACCTTTTTCCAAACTGGAAAAATAATTTTTCTACCCTTTTTATATGAAAAAAACAGAAGCGCAGAAAGATAGTTCCAGATTATTGGGTAAATTGGTACATGAAGGAAAAAAAAGCTGTCAAAATTCTTTAGCTTAGAACTTAATTTATTTTGTAAACTGTTTTATTGAGGCTATGGTTCAGCTTTCAATCCTATAGTTAAGCTTTTTTGTGTTGTTTTGCCTGACAAATTTAACTATTTACTAAATTTCTATTAGCACAAACTAAGTTACCAAAATTGAGGTAGTTGAAGCATTTTTCCTTGTCTGTTCTTTTAAGTCTTTGTAATTGCTTATGTTGTAATTTTTCCTTTATTTTTAGAACAAAGTCAAAACAACCTAACTTGAAATGACATATTTAATTTTTTTCTCAAAAAATGTTCAAATTTGTCATTGAGTATTACGGAAAATCTCCACATGCATCATAGTTAGCTACCTGAGCTTTTCATTAACTTTAATCTTAGAATTTGTACCTCAGAAAATTGAATGATTAAAACCCAATGATTATTAAGTTATCTTAGATTAGAATCTACCTGACTTTCTGTGTACATTTATTCTTTCTTAGTTCATTAGCTTTCTACCTCTGAGAGATGGCCACTGTCCTACTTGGTCCCTGCAGCTAGAGTTGCTGGGGCAGGAAGCATAGGAAGGTTAACTAACCTTGACTATTAAAGGGAAGCTCTTTCCTCAACCCAGAGAACACTTATGACACCAAAGGTGTGAGTTTTCCATACCAATAAGTTCTAGCACCAGCTTCCCACTTAGCCCAGATCTCACAGGTTGAGGACTAAGTCCTATAAGACTGCCCTCCACTTCAATGCCAGTCACAAGGAGTGATTCCCAGGTTACCTACAGCTTCTGTCTGACTCAGCTACAAATTGGGGGCTCTCACAACTCCCTCCTTGGGTTCAATAATTTGCTGGAATGGTTCACAGGATGAAGAGAACTCTTTACTATTACTGGTTTATTATAAATGATAAAACTCTGGAACAGCCAAATGGACAAGATGTATAGGGCAAGGTCTGGAAGTCTTGAGCACAGGAGCTTCTATCCTCTTGTAGTTTGGAGTGTCTCCCATACATGGATGTGTTCACCATCCTGAAAGCTCTCCAGGCCCTATTGTTTAGGGTTTTTATGGGGGTCTATTATGTGGGCATGATGGATTAAATCTTTGGCCACTGGTGATTAACTCAATTTCCAGCTCTGAGGATAGGAGGTGGGATAGAAAGTTCAACCTTCTAATCATGCGTTTGTCTTTTTGGTGAGCAGTCTCCCATCTCAAAGCTATATGGGGGCCCCTAGGGATCAGTCACCTCATTAGCATGCAGAAGGATACTCTTAAACACTGCAGAGGGGGATCCCTGGGTGGCGCAGCGGTTTGGCGCCTGCCTTTGGCCCAGGGCGCGATCCTGGAGACCCGGGATCAAATCCCACGTCGGGCTCCTGGTGCATGGAGCCTGCTTCTCCCTCTGCCTATGTCTCTGCCTCTCTTTCTCTCTCTCTGTGACTATCATAAATAAATAAAAATTAAAAAAAAAAACAAAAACAAAACAAAACACTGCAGAGGTTTCCAAGGTCTTAGAAGCTCTTATATAAGAAACTGGGGTTAAAGACCAAATACTAGAATAAAAGATATTCCTCGCACACCTATCACTCAGGAAATAACAATATCAGAAACCAGGCGGAAAAAACCAATGCTCTCTTCTTATTATATTACTGCAAAATACTTTAAGAGAATCTTTTAAGTCAATTCTGTATGTAACTTTTTGACTTTGAACAACTGATTATACTCCAGAATGATAATGGTGCTCATCTTTGAGGAACTTTTAATAAAATTCTACAGTTTACACATGACATACTAGGTTGATATAGCATTCAAAAGGGGTAGTCATGTTGTTTATCTAGTAACTAGTAACCATGTATCAACTAACTAACTAACAATAGAATATTAAGGTTCATGCCCGGGGTTTTGCCTTTATGAACTGACAAAACTTGGTCTTGATTTTACAGTTGAGGATGCTAAACTATGTGGAAAGGAGACTGGTGAATAAGACAGGCCTCTATTAAGGACTTAGCTCACTCTTTGGTCTGTAATAGATACTGGGTAAATGTTTATGACATTGAAATGAGCTGACTTTATTTAGTCTCTTAGATAGGTATATGACTAAGACTCAGTCTATTTCCTTGAAGAATTTAGGTCCTAAATAGGGGAGAAAAAATACATTCACATTTCATTTATTTATTCATGAGACACACACACACAACACAGAGAGAGAGAGAGAGAGAGAGAGGCAGAGACACAGGCAGAGGGAGAAGCAAGCTCCATGCAGGGAACCTGACATGGGATTCGATTCCGGGTCCCCAGGGTCACTCCCTGGGCTGATGGCGGCACTAAAGCACTGAGCCACTCAGGCTGCCCCACTACAGTAGTCTTCTAATAATTGGCCTTTCTTTCTCCTTTTACTTTTGTCCCACTAAACTTTTCTCCACACATAAGTCAGATGTGTCAGGTCACTTTGCTAACCCTTCAGAAAGATTGCCCATGAGATTTAGGATAAAATAGAAACTCTTCGCTCTTTTGGACACTGGCTTCCTCTCTAATTGCATTTTTCATCCCTTTACCTTTCTCAGTTTTTTCTGGCACCTACAGGTCATCATTTTGTTACCTGAACCTGCTAGAAGTGTTATTTCTAAAAGGCCTTTTCAAATATTTCCCTTTCTGCTTAGAATTCCTCTCTTCCACACATTTATATAATCAGATGCATCATTCTATTCCTTCTGTTCTTTGTGCAAGGCCCACCCTCTCTCCCAAGCCTTCCTTGATTACCTATCTAAAATGTCTTGTCACACAGTATCCCCTTACTATTTTTTCTTTATGGGACTTAGCACTACATATTAATTAGTTTTTAAAATTGTCTGTCTCTACTTTTAGAATGTAAGTTCTAAAGATAAAGATCTTTATTTGGAACTTAACTGTACCCCCAGTGACTAGAAGAGTGACTAACATATGGTAGGTGTTCATATATATGTTGCACGGGATGAATGAAAAAAAATCTATTGTCGTGATGTCAGCCATCCCCTATGCTCTGACTTTTAAAAATTCTTTCTAACATTCCATCTTTTTTGGTTGTAGCTGTATTCTGACTTTTTTTTCCTGTATTCTGACTTTTAATTCTAATTCTCTATTCTCAATATTTTTTGACTGTCCATTCTCTTGTAGCTTTTGAAAATAAATGTAGCTTCGCCAGTTGTCATTCTGCTCCCTCAAACTCCATTAAAATTAAATTGAACACACACAAAATCTTGAATCCATTAAAAAGACCAAAAACTTACAAAATGAAATAACTCTTTTTCTGCCAGCCTTAGTTTACGTTTTGTTGGTGGCTACCCATTGCCCCATCTTAAAACCTCTTCGTTCTCTTCATCTCTTTCCTTCCCCCTCTATCCCATACTCCATACATATGCTCAGTCTCCTCCCTAGTTCTACTCGCTCGATTGGTGAAAAGTCTCTTGAATTTTTTTGTCCTCTTCTGCTTTACTTCAGATGCCAGTCATCCTTGCCCTTTATGATATCATATTCATTTAACCTGCTTCCTTATCTTTGTGCTCTCTTGCCTTCCATTGTACCTTCATGTTGCTGCCAGGATTATCCTTATATTTTTCACACAGAGTCTAGATTATAAACTATCAGGGACTGTCATGGCTACCCTAACATCATCAATGACTCAGGTTCATTCTTTGTTTTACCATCCTCAGCAAGGGTTTCTCCTTTAAGGATGCTTTATGGTCCATGATTACTGCTGGTCCCCAGCTGCCTTGTCTGTTTTTTGTCAGGAAGAAGTGGGAAAGAGTATAAGTCAGCTCCCTTTTAAGAACCGTCTGGAATCCAACCCCAGTGACTTCTAACACTACTGGGCCATCTGTAGCTGTTGGGGCATCTGGAAAATTCTTTCATTGAGGCACTTGTGTTTAGAGAAGTTCTGTTAGTAAAACAAAAAGGAAGGATGGATTTTGGATAAGAAACCAGCAGTATCTGTATTCCAGATGCTGAGATGCTTTCATGCTCCCAGCTTGTAACTTACTCCTGCTTCTTGGCTTTTGCTCATGATTTTTTTGTCCTGCCTTATTGTTTCTTTCCTTTTCTACCTGGTTACCTCCTACTTGTTCTATAAGATTGAATTACATGTAAACTCTTAAGTATAATTAAATATAACTCTTAGATGTGGAAACAATTTCTTTCTCTGGGTTACCTTGAGCACTTGAATAAATGAGCAATTATAGGATATAAATCAGAAAGAAAAGTAAAATAAAAAATTTGACCTGGAGACAAACTACTGTTTAATTTTCCTTCTTGTTTCTCTAACCAAGAAACTTGACCTTTTGATATATACTCTGAACCTTAAATATAATCTTTTAAAGGTTAATTGTGTCAAAGAAGAAACATCAAGATACTGTGGAAAAGAAAAGGATTTGATGAAAGCATATTTATTCAGGTAAAGTATTTTTTTTGAGTGTGATAGATACAAAGCTGTACTTCTAGAATATTAAAATGTATAAATTATCACTAAGCCAGAATAAAGCTTTATGCAGTGAAGGCCATATGATGTTTAGCAAACAGTCTAAGTCATAGATTTGTTACCTGCACTTTACCTTCCTTATCTATGAAATGAGATAAAATAGCTATAAAACCTACCTTACAGGCTTGTTTTGAATATTACGTGAGAATTCTTTTTTTTTTTTTAAAGATTTTTAATTTATTTATTCATAGAGACACACACACACAGAGAGAGAGAGAGAGGCAGAGACACAGGCAGAGGGAGAAGCAGGCACCATGCAGGGAGCCCGATGTGGAACTCAATCCAGGGTCTCCAGGATCAGGCCCTGAGCTGCAGGCGGCGCTAAACTGCTGCGCGCCACCGGGGCTGCCCCTACGTGAGAATTCTTATGTAAACTCCTACTATAAGTGCCGGGAAAGTAAGCACTTAACAAATTTAGTGTTTTGAGTAGATCTGTCATGTCCATATTTGGGTGTGAAGGAAATGTATTTTTGAGAGATCTGCCAATGTCCCAGTTACAGATTCCCCTGCATTTTGATCTGCTAGTCTCTGAGGTTTCTCAAAGTCTTTTTCTCAAACTGTTGGGATTTGGCCTGAGAAGTGGGGGCAGAGTCTCTCTCCTCAGAGATCAACTGCTGAGGAAACTTCTTTCTCTCTCCTACTTGTCTCCTCCCCAGCCCATTTAGGGAATGTATGTGTATGTGACTGGGAGTATGGTAGGAAGCCTTGTTGAGACTCATGTGTTTTCCCAATCTTTTTGCCTAGCTCAGAGCCTAAACTCTTCAAAGTCAACATATTTAGTGAGTGTATATTCAATAAATATTTGTGTGTGTTTTACAGTCAGCATGCTGGTGGGTGCATGAGATAATGGATAAATACCAAGGCTGTAACGTCAAAGGACTTATAACCTACCGTATTGGAGAGACAAGAAAAGTGAATTCCAAGGAAATATTTCTGTAATGATTTTTAAATTTTTTTAATAGGGGCAACATCTTACTTAGAGAATTCCCTACTGATGTCTTGTTTGATGTGAATGCCATCGTTGCCCATGTTCTCTTGTAAGTACAGAGGGTACTCATTGATTTATTGTTATTTATCTCTTGATTTCATTTTAGGCAATCACAATCCATTAAAATATTTTAGAGTTTTAACATTATATTTGTAGGCATTAATTTCACACAAAATTACTGATCTGTCTTTTCCCTACGTAGAGGATCTAAAATGTCTTGAATGGCAAAGGATACAAAAACATCTTTGTATAAAAGTAGGAGAGAACACAATCACATGGTCATAGTATTGCTTTTGCTTTTGAATATACCTGTGGAGTAAGGATTTTACTAGGTAAGAAGCTAATCTTTGCTATTCTCACTGGGATTTTTAAAATATCTGGCATGCTTCTCATCCCAGCTTGATTTTTCTGGGGTCTGTAGTTCTACTCAGTAGGTGCAGAAACAGCGCCAGTAGTCCCAGAACACGTCTTAGTGTTTACAGAGAGCAAGACAGAGAGAGAAACAGAGAGAGAGAATATCTAAATTTAACTTTCCTGACATGGAATTTGGAAGCCTAGGATTTAGGCCTATGTGGAGTCCATTTGTGCAGTCTCCTCCTAGATGAAGTCTGATTACCTCTTCAGTGACAAAGTTTGAAGCCATGACTTCATTAGGGACACAATTTACATGAACCTTTCCAGTTTAATGTTGTGTTAGGGCTGCTGGCCACTAAGACCTTTGCTGACATTGAGTATCTTTGTTTTCTGCTTGGCTCTCCTCTTCCTTCTACTCTCTGACTGGATTCCCATAAAAATTGGGTGAAAGTTAAATGATAGGAAACTCAGAACTTACAGGTGAAAAGTTGTAGTTATCACTTCGCTAGTGAACACTTTTAAATGTTCCAGTACACATCATATATAAATGAAAAGTTTTTAGAAATTCCTGACAACCATGGAATCTGAGGCCTGTAGACTACGAAGCCAATTGTAAGAAGTGAATGGTGGTCTTTTCGAGAGGAATTCCAAAGAACTGTTAGGCTGCATAGAGGCTTTTCCCTTAAAGAAGGGTGGCTGGGTGGCTTGAGGATTGGGGTCATAAAAAGGCTTAGCAAAAAGCCCCAGTAGTAGATATGATACTTGTTCTCGGGAAGCTTACTGGTTTCTGCTGTTTTTACAGCAGGTATCTGACGATAGTCTTAGAGCCAGATATGAGAGTTGAAGAGATAGAGAAAGAAGATTCTTTGAAGGATAAGGATGTTATCCTTAGGTACTAAGATTGTCTTTGAGAAGTTTGATGGCAAATCCTGGACCAGCAGGTCCATGTTGGATAACCTGACAACAAGGTGGTTTTGAAACAGTTGGGCCTTAGTGTGGAGAGGCTGCCCGTGCTGGGAACTGGTTAGCTTGTGGGGCTTGTGTTATTCAATCCTGCTGTAGTGTCCTGTTGCTAGTGCTGTGTTAATGCTGATTCATAGAACACTAATTCCACAAATAGATGATTCCTCGTGTTCCTGCTATGTGCCAGATACTTGTTAGGCACTGGGGATACAGAATAGAAAAGGATATGGCTTCTGTTCTCTAGGAATTTAGTGTTTTGTTACATAGATACAGAAACAGAAAATACTGTGTAGTAAGTAAATTGGTAGAAGTTTGTATGCCTGAGCGCTTAAGATCCACAGTACAGGGAAGAGTTACCTGTGTCTAGAATGAGGGTGGGTATTTGTTAAGAATGCTTCCTGGTGGAGGTGGCACTTGGGATGAGTCTTAAAGGATAAGTGGCAGTTTGGTGAAGAAACAGAAGGTGGGGAAAGCAGGGGAAACTGTGACCAAAGGCATGGAGGTTAGAATAGTTTGGGGGAGTAGTTTTTTTTTAACACTTTTTTTTTTTTAGTGATTTTTATTGATTTATTTGAGAAAGAGAGAGAAAGAGAGAATGAGCAGGGGAAGATGTAGAGGGGGAAACAGACTTCCTGCTGAAGAGGGAGCCTGACTTGGGACTCGATCCTAGGACCCCAGGATCATGACCTGGGCCAAAAGCAGACATTTGACTGAGCCATCCAGGCACCCCTGGAGCGGGGGGGGGGGCAGTTTTTACTCAAGTATGAAATGGGAAACAGGAGATGACAGCAGAAAAGTAGGTATGGGGGTCAGATGGAAGGGATCTTTGTTTACCATGAGAAGAAGTTAAGGCTTTGGGGTAGGCCCTGAAGGGTGAGGAGGTTAGCTCCAGGCCAGAATACTTATGTGGCCTATGAGTCCTGCCCACAGGCAATTACAGGCTTTGTCTGGCAGGACTCATAGGGTAAAGGTGCCCTACCCACACCAGACTCGGTGCATATCCAGTGCATTGCAGTTTTATAGAGAAAATTGAGGTCCAAGACTTAAGGACATAGGCCAGACATGCTCCAATGTAACCTGTATTTTTAGCTCAAGTGTCTCCATTCAGAGGCCTCATTATAAGAAAAGACCTTGACAGAGGCACCTCCCTGGTGCTTCTGCTAAGACCTCCTTATCAGGGGTCTTTGATTGAGGCACTTTTCTCCACTTAGTATCTTTCCTCTTCTGGCTCTTCTCCCTTTCTTTCTCCTCAGCCCATGAGTTCATAAAGAGTCAAGAGCCTTTGTTTGGGGCTCCTTGAAATGAGATGCTCCCCTGCACCTGCACTGCACCCCCTTGACTTTTGCCTAATGCTGGCCAATGGTGGGTGGGGCAAGGAATAGAATATTGTAGAACTGTTGCCTCACTTTTGGCCTCTGGCTTGTACTACCACAGTGAGTGAATAAAGGCTTGACTGTTAAATTTGGCTCACTGTCCTGACCACCTCAACAAGTGATTGCTCCACAGAGGATTGTAGGTAGATAAGTGATATAATCAGATTAGTACTCGAAAGCTCTTTCTGGTGGACATGAGATAGATTTGTGAAGTCCAAGCACACATAGAAATCATTGTGTGTCTATTATATGATTTAGGGAGGTAAAATAGAGATAGCAAAGAGGAGATTTTCTTTTTAATGCTTAGAAGGTGAAATTAACTGGATTTGGTAAGAGCTAATTTGGTAACAGTCAGCAAAACTACAAACTTGAAATTAATCCCTAATCTCATCTTTTCTGTCTTTCCAATCCTACTCAACCCTGAATCCTCTCTGATCAACATCTGAAGTAGGCAAGGAAGAAGAACAGATTTACAGGGGAAGAGGAGTTGACTTTAACAAGGGGAATGCCCATCGGATGTGAGTCTCCAGTAGGCAGCTGTGGGATTTTGAACTGAGGAGTACAGATGTAGGTATAGTCAACATACAGGTTATCCAGGTAGCACCTTACACAACACCAGCACTTATGGGAAAAAGAAACTGAGTTGGGGGGTAAATAAATGTCAAGGAAATAAAATTGCAAAAAGGCAATGTCCCCATTAATTTAAAATGTAAGAAAAATGACTTTGGAATATATTACAAAAATTCTCTGTAGTGATCTTCAGAATGTTGAAAAACTGTGTGCTTAATAGTGTGCCATATCCTAGCTACACCTTCCAAATAACCATGAGGAAAAACGATACCTTTCAATTTGTCATCCTACTTTTTGTGCTAAAACCATCAATTTGAAATATCTAGTGCCTAGCAAGCAGTTTCCCTGTCCTGTACTCTTTTGTAGTTGCATACTATTCGTTGAAATGGACCTGAACATTTGGAATTTGATTTGGAATCTTTTGCCCATTTTTCTGTCATATTTGAACTGTATTAGCTTCTGATACTGTTTTTATTTTTTTATTTTTTTGATACTTTTTTTTTTTTTAAAGATTTATTTTAGAGAGCACACATGCAAGTGAGTGAGGGGAGGGACTGAGGGAGAGAATCTTCAAGCAGACTCCCTGCTGAGTAGGCAGTCTATCCCATGAGATCACAATCTGAGCCAAAACCTAGAGTCAGAGGCTTAACACATTGAGTCATCCAGGTGTCTTAGATACCTTCTTTATATGAAGGAGAAACAAACTACATTTCCCCCCAAGTTGTCATTTATCATCTAAATTTCTCTATTCTTTTTTTTTTTAAGATTTTACTTATTTGAGAGAGAAAGCTCACAAGAGGAAGAGGAGGGCAGAGAGAGAGAGAGAGGGAGAGAGAGAATTTCAAGGGGACTCTGCCCTGAGTGCAGAGCCCCATGCAGGGCTTGATCTCACAACCCTGAGACCATGACCTGAGCTGAAATCAAGAGTTGGATGTTTCACCAGTTGAACTACCAAAGCACCCCTGAATTTATTTCCCTATTCCTTAAAGAATTATCTGGTCAAATTTATCTTTTCTCTTCAGAATTGTAGAATTTGAGTTTTACTGTGGTTTGTCTTATACCGTAGTTTTGAAGGAATTTATTCATTTAAAAAATTATAGATTTTGTTTATTTATACATTTTTTCAGGTTTATTTTTTATTTATTTTCAAATTTTTATTTAAATTCCAGTTAACATACAGTGTAATATTAGTTTCAGTCTTATATTAGTTTCATTAAATATGTAATTTAGTGATTCATAACTTACATATAACACCCAGTGCTCATCATAACAAGTGCCCTCCTTAATACCCATCCCCTGTTTAGCCCATCCTCTGCCCACCTTCCTCTATCAACCCTTAGTTTTGTTCTCTATAGTTAGAGGTCTGTCTTATGGTTTGCCTCTCCTTTTTTGCCCCTGTGTTCATTTGTTTTGTTTCTTAAATTACACAGATGAGTGAGATCATATAGCATTTGTCTTTTTCTAACTGACTTTTTTTCTTAGCATAATAATACACTCTGGGTCCATCCATATTGTTGCAAATGGCAAGATGTCATTCTTTTTGATGGCTGAGTAATATTCCATTGTATATATCTACCATATCTTCTTTATTCATTCATCAGTTGATGGATATTTGGGTTCTTTCTATAATTTACCTGTTGTTAATGCTGCCATAAATACTGGGGCACCTGTAACCCTTCAAATCAGTATTTTTGTATCCTTTGGGTAAATACTTAGTAGTGAAATTGCTGAATCTTAGGGTAGTTCTATTTTTAACTTTCTGAGGAATCTCCATACCATTTACCAGAGT